TTACGTTAAAAATTTTTTGAAGAAACACAAATATTTCTAGAAAAAATATGTTCCACTCAAAGCACATTGAACAGGTAGTATCTATTAGTAGAGCAGCTGATTCGATTTTTTTTTTCAAATTGTTTGGTCTCGAAAATGTCAAATATTGTTAATTTACCCCCATGAAAATCCTAAATTGTTAAAATACAATTGCAAGTGGAACCTTTTTTCATACAAAACAAGCGATTGGATGACAGAGCACAACCGCAGATTACTGGGTCTTGCAAAGGATGGAAGAATGCTTCGAGAAGCAAACAGATTTACTAAGAAGAAAAATTGCAAACATTTTTTTTTTTGTCAATTTCAATTTTTTATTTTTTATTTATTTTTTTTTTGTATTTCACATGGCACTTTCGATACCAGAAGCAACAAAAAAATACCCGCAAATTTTGTTTTTGCTCTAATGCTACTACCTGTTTGATATGACTTGGTTCGACTATTTTTTTTATATAGAAGAAAGGGCACAACACTACCAGCAAACACAAAAATATTAAAAATCAAAAACTGTTCACTCATACCCTAAAGGAAAACCCTGATTAAAAAACTAAAATGCCGCTTATGAACGGCACATGCGGTTTATGAGATACAAGGCAGAAATACAACCGGAGATTTTTCATTGTCTGTCGAGGGGCGACTGCTGCCAGGGATTGAACCCTGTCGTTGACGATATTAGTACGAATTCAAAATTAAACTAACCATAACAGCTTATGAGCATTAATGTAACTCATATTTGTTGATTTTTTGACAAAGCCACAGTTCAGTATCGCTTCTGTAAATATATATGAATTTTGCAGAGAATAATATTAAAAAAATACATACATACACATGTATGTACATATATGTATAGTTAATTAAATTTTCAATATTTAATAATCATAACTCAAAACGCCTGTCATCATTTCTGCGTTGTCGCGAACCACAACGTCTGCTGCTTGCGCCTTAGCCGCCTTTGTTTAAAATCGCGCTGCTATTAGCATCTTCATTGCCTCGCCAACCAACGCGGCGCACGCGATCATTTCATTCATTCGTTTATTCATTATTGTTCGTTTGCTGGCATCGATTGCGCAATTTTTTTTCTCACCAACAAATGCAAGCATAAATTAGAGATTTATAGCAGACAGGAAAAGGTATTGAAAAGATAAACATTGCTAAGGAAACATGGAACTTAAAAGAAAGACGGACCACACCAAATGCGCGCCCCTCTCTCTCTCTTATTGCATTGTTGCTGCTGATACATAGTACATATTTCGCTATGGACAGCTAAGCATGAACTTTTGTTGCGATGAAGTCAGGGCAGATAAGCGTGCATTGACGCGCACAGATCCAAGTGCAACGAAGGTGTGACAATACGCAAGAAGAAGAAGAAGAAGAAAAACGTGCCGGGAAACACAATGAGCAGCGCGCGCGCGGTATGAGCAATTTGAGCTGCAAAGGTCGTTCGTTCGTTGTTTTTTTTTTGCTTTCAATTGCTTCGCTAATCGCAAGCGTCCTTGGTTAAGGTTGTTGCAAATAGCAAATACTCGTAGTTACGTGCAACATTGTATTGTTACTAGGTATTGTATGTTGAAAGAGATACATATAAGAAATAAAATTGCAAAAATAATAATGGGTATGCCTTTCACACTTGCGATCAGCTACGGAGTGGTGCTTGAATTTCATGAGCTATTCTTTGGCTGCAATTTTCTCCCTCTTTTATTTTTACGCTGACTGACTGAGTGACTGCAAAGTGATACTCGCAAAGTTGCCGAGTGATTGTAAGTGTTGCAAAATGGCATTGCAATAGCAGCTAAGCGAGCAACTACAGATCGTCAAAGGCGGCCAAGCTGCAAAATGCCGCATGCTGGCCAATGAACGTCAGGTTGGTTAGGTTGAGTTAAGTCCAGCAAAAGCCGGCAAACGGCAAAGTCAACAGAGACTCATTCAACACTCGGCTATTTTTGCTTGCAAATATAAATATGTACATGAAGAAGTAAAGCGAATGTGTGTGTGGACAATGAACTTTTTAGTCAAAAGCTGACGTCAACTAAATATGCAATGGCAATCCATTGACATCCCTCTGTCGCGGCTGCCTCTGCCAGTTACATGTGCTTGCCGAAGTAAATTGCGCATTTTGGCGTTAAGTGCATTTGCTTGCCCCCCCCTTCAATGTCGACCAGCGTAAAGTTTGATGACAATTCAGCAGCAAAGAGCTGGCGGGCGCCTATGTACTTGCCGTCACTGCTCGCAGTGAGCAGTTTACACAAAGGCACCCACCGCAGGCAGTCAGCTGCAAAGGCGTTTACCATTCATTTAATGAGTGTCATGCAACTTTGATATTTTCATTTGTTTTTGCAATTATTTTTATCACGCCTTGCCATATGATATGCTTTTAACGCGCGCAAGTGCAGCTATGTATTTAAGTGCATTGTGCTCACGCGTGCATGGTAATATGATGCCGTAGGCGATTTAGCCGCCGATGACGACTCACTGCTTTTGCTGTATGTATTTGGAATTTAGTTTTACCGGCAAGTCGCTGAACGCGTGAAATGTATGTTCGAAGGAAATGGTATCAGCGCTGCAATGGCATGTCATTGAAATTGAAACGTGAAAATCAAGGTTGCCACAGTATTTGAATGTAGCGTAAATATTTAGTGCAAATTGTTTGCTGAGAGCTGCTCACCAAAATGTGCTAAATACTTTAAATAAATGTATTTGGGTATTAAAAGTATTTATTTACTTAATTTCACGTTGCCAAATACTCGTATCACTATAGTAAAGTGTTCAGCATTTATTTTTTTTTTTTTGCCGAAATATTGGGCACAGAAGGACTTAGTCCCGAAAATTCCGAGTAGTCCCAAAAATCGCGAAAAACCATACATATTCCGAAAAAGCCCGGAAAAATCCCAAATAGTCCCGGAAAATATAATATGAAGAATGCCAAAAAGTCTTGACAAAAAAGTACAGTTCCGAAAAAAATTCCACAAGATCGGGAGAAAATCCTAAAGAGCTTCGAAAAATCTCGAAAATCACGAAGCACTTCATTATATAGTCAATCTCTAAAATAAAAAATTACCTATTATTCTGAAACTTAGTTTTCCGCAGCCTCAAAAACTTAAGCACTTAAGTAAAAATTTTATATCAATCAGCTCTTAAATATTTGAATTCTATTTATTTTAGTATTTGGCATCTGCTGAATACCTAAGTATTTTTTTTGCAGTTTACTATTTAGAAATCTCTAAATATATGGGTATTTATGTCCAAACCAAAGGCTCCATATAACTTTGGGCATCATAAAGCCTCAAAGTGCTGGGATATATCTTCTATTTGTTTGTGAAAGAAAACACCAGATAATGTACCGAATGAAATTTGTTGGTGGTCTAAAATAGTATTTGGAAAGAAGGCCTAAAATGAAGGAGTAAAGAGGAAGCTCAATAAACCGATATGTATCTTGTCGAAGTTCATTTAAAATAATTGCTTATTTTAGGACCTTTAAAATTATTTTGTCAGATAGTTTATCGTCATCAGCTATGGAAAAGTATATTTTTGTGTATTTTTACCACATTGTCATTGAAATGTCACATGTCAATGATGGATTGGCTTCTTTTCGTCATTTAGACTTGACAAAAAATAAAATTAAATAAGCTAAACAAAAAACCATTCCAACGTATTGTCAAAGTATACTTAAATAAATAGATGCCTTAAAACACACACAAACTGTCTTTGAAAAAGTTAAAAAAAATTTGCGCAGAACATGAAACTAGAAATTTCGAAGTACTAGTTGATTCTTTAAATGCGCTTGGCCAAATTTATAACACAAAAAGAAACAAACTCAAAAAAAAAATAAAAAATAAAAAATTTTAATATTTTTAATTTTTGTTTGAAATTGGAAATTAAAAGATGTTTTTCATTATTAAGCAATCTCAAAAAGGAGGAGGATATCAATTTGTCGGAATATTTTTTTTCCTTATGTATGTTAACCGGTTTCTATAATTCTTCTTTTAGAGGGAAGGCGGTACCTCAGAGGTAGTCCTATACTAATATGGATTAACGGCAAATTAACAGAATTTTTAAATTTTTATATGAGAAGCGAAATTGCTTTTGTTTTTTGCTTAAAAAATATATTTTTTTTCATATGTCTCCTGATCAGTGCTGTTGAAGTCTCACTAGTGTTGTATAAGTTTACTACTACTATGTATTTGTGTAGATGAGACAAATTGCGCTTTCCTGCCAATTGACGTCATGATGTGTACAAATAGAATATGGCGAACGGCATAAATAAGCGCCAACAATTTTACATTTTTGCATATTCTTATTAATATAAAAATTGTATGTATGTATATAAATTTGACATGCAAACATACTAGTACATATTTATGTAACAAGCTTTACAGCTCTTGCTCTACATATACATATTCACAAAAAAATTACCTTAGCCCACTGAAGCACTCAAAGACTTTCGGCATTTTGCTGACTTGTATCACTTAGTTTGATTCAGAAATTCTTCGCATTAGCTGTTCAAAATAACTATTTGCCACAAGGCACTTAATCAAAACCCACATTTCACACTTTCCTGCTGACGCCAGAATTTTCCAACGCACATACAAATTTTCAGGCCTACAAAACTTATTTTAGTTTTATTTTTTAATTTTTATTTTTCAATTAATTTGCACACAATTTTTCACTACACATTGGCACTTCCGACAATTGCTTTCATTTAAATTTTTATTTCATAAATCTTTATATTTTCAAGTGCTTATTTATAGATATGTATTTTCACAATCACCTTCACGCTCGCACTACAAAAATCGCGCCAAAATCGCCATAACGCCTTCGAATTCAATTTGCCGACTGAAGCGACTAAATTTGTATGGGGATGCGCTGTCAAAATTATAATGCGCTCATGAAAAATATTATACTAAATGTGAAATTCGCACGTATATACGAATTGATCTATACACGTTTGTATACCTACTATACATACATACGTATGTATGTACATAGATGTGTAAATGTTCAGTTTATGAGTTTGTGTGAATTTTCCACTTGGCACTGACCACTACGCTCAACTGCGAAAACGCCCACATAAAGCGCACCGTTCTGATAGCTACACACAAATACATACATACATATATACATACGTACACATTTGAATAAGCGAATAATAAACAAAAACAGATTGTCCAGCACTTGAAGCGTATAATACTCTTATAAGATCAAAATTATTAAACAGAACGTACTAAACTATAGCAGAGTAAGGCAAAAACTGCAAGAAAAAAAAAAAAAAAAAAACATAAGGCGTTGATTATCGCTTTGATCCATGTAATAGCCGCAACTAACGTTTCACCACCGCCCGACGCGTCGTATGAGTGATATTTGCTTAACCAACACAGAGCAGCGAGTACTACGAGTCTTAATTAGGGATGTTAATTTTTCGACTATTTCCGATCCCGGGATTTTCGGGATGTCGGTACCACAATCGCGGGATCCCAGGATTAGTCCCGGGATTTAGATATTCATTACTTTTCAACAACTTAAATCGAAAAAAGTGCTTCTATCCCTCTTACCATAAAATAAATAATAAATAAATGGGTTTGAAACCTACTTTTTTATTTAAAGTGGCGTTTTTATTTTGTATCTCTGACGTCAGGATTTATGTTACAAAGATATGATAATTCCAAAAATTGTAAATAAAAATAAAAATACGGATGCATGAGGAAATTTCTTATAGGTAATTTTTTAAGCTGATAAAGTTAGAAGGACGAAGCTCGAGNATTTTTTGGATTCATAAAGACGAATAGGTAATTTTTTATGCTGATAAAGTTAGAAGGACGAGATTCGCGGATGTTATCAAGTTTAGTTTATATAAGTCCGGTGTTCAAAGTTATGTGGTAACATACATAAAAAAAAATAAAACAAAAAAAAAAACAAATAAAAAAAAATAAAAATAAAAAAATAAACGACGAACTGATAACCTTCTCCTTTTCTGGAAGTCGGTTAAAAAAGAAATATAGCCAATGCTGGTCAAGAAAAGAAATTTATATTATTGCCATCAGTGCAAATAAAAAATCCCGAAAATCTCGGGATTACTTGCCAAGAATCCCGGGTTTTTTGGGACCTTGAAAAGGCCGAGATTCCGGAACTAATATTCGCAGCATCAACGAACTAATTTTAGGATGATAATTGGGACAAAAATAATCAAAAGCAGCTGCCCATATTTGATAATCAAAAATTAAGCTGTTTTTGTTATTGTTACTAGTATTGATTTTATGCTTATAGCATAGTTCAACGAAGCTATTTATTTGTGGTTATGAGCAACTAACTTCAAATTGATGTATAATCACCTAGCAGCCTCTCGGAGATAAACCAAATGCTTACACTTTTGAAATGGCTGCTGTTACTTGTTAGCTTCTAGAAGGTTGAGGCTCGAATATCAACAGAGACAACATGTGAAAAGGATAATACAAATTTATTTCCTGTGTCTTGGAAATATGAAAAAGCATCTGTGAAGTGCAGAAAGAAAGCGTATTGACTTTGTAGTGTTTTAAGCCAAATGCATTTTAAAGTAGTTGAAATCAAATGCAGAGTCGGCTTCCTAGGACATTTCCACGTTAAAGTAAACAGTTCGGTCCAAGAAAGAAAGTCAGCTCTTCAATTAGTTGTGGTAGGCAAAAAGCTGGTTGAGCATCAAATATTTAAACTGGTTTCTTTCCGTACTGGGTATGTACACAATTACTTATGTATGTATGTATAAGTATACAGCCAATAATCGCACACATTTGCTTTTATTTACTCAGACTCTGAATCATCTGGCTCACTTTTATCAGTCGCCGGTCCAGCTGCGTGGCTGGCGGTCCGCTGTCTTTTGTCTTCTCCGATTTGCGCACACATACGTCACTGCACGCTAATGTACGTCGTACTAATATTTGGAAACACATACACACTTATGCGAAAATATTTATTTTGCGCTCATTTATTGTATTTGCAATCATCTTCCAAACGCCTTAATCGCTGCGCCCACGGCGCTGATTTACTTTCAATCGCTTTATCGGCCATTGACTGTGCCCATGCTGTCTGCCAGAGTTGCGGCGGCTAATGCGAAAATTATAAACTTTTTGCATTTCTATGTAGTTAAGTAGCTGTTAGACGTGGCAAGTGCAAGTACTTTTCAAAAGTCTGTCAAACTCAAGAATTTCCAAAAGTAATTGCAGGAAAAGTTGCATTTTGCACGTAAGGAGAGTTTCGAAAGCAGTTTTTATTTCCGAAAATCTAACTTGCCGATACTGCTTTTTGTCTGTTTACACGGTGAATGCGGACAAGTCTACTTTCAATTATGTTACTAGACATTTTTCTGCTTATTACAAAATTACTGACCTAAAAAAATTGTTAAAAATGCTAAAACGCACATAAAATGTCGAATGCTTTTATATTTAAATAGTTCATATCAGGAAAATAAATTAATTACAAGCATTTTTTTATATGTGATGCAACATTTATAAAATTTTTATATACATAAATTCGCCAAATATTGCGGCACACGGCAACACTCGATTGGTTTGACAGCACTTGCAGCAAAAATGAAAATTGCTAGAGCAGCAGGAGCAAGTTTAAATTCGCGATTTGCATAATTGCAGTTACAGTTACACCTTGTAATTTTTATTTCCGAAAGGGATTTCTGCAAATCTGCAAAAAGGACTTTCTGGCAATTTACACGGGGAAGTAGACTTTCGATTTCGCATTTTGATAGCTTGCATTGCCTCGTTTAACCGTACCCTTATGTGGTGTAGTGGTTAGAAGTGCGCACTCTGCAGGTTCTGGGAGCTAGCCCAGTTTCCGACTAACATCAAAACCAAAAAACAATTTTTTCTAATAGCGTTCGCCCCTCGCCAGGCAATGGCAAACCTCTGAGTGTATTTCTACCATGAAAAACAATTTAGGATATTTTTCCCGATTGCCTGCTAAAAATTTACGGCCGGTCTGCTTTATCGACTTTTCATCAATTGCCTGTTTAAGAGTGTGAGCGACAAATTTGACAAGCAGTCAGAGCACTGGTCATCTTTAACAGGCAGTCTAGAAAAACGGCCCTTAGAATTCAGAGAACATGAAAACTTACTTCCACCTATCTGCCTTTTGGATGCCCGAATTTCCGATTGATATATGTATATGTTCAGCTCCTTCTCCGGCTTTCTCTTCAAGCTTGGAGCTATCTGTAAAGAATTTTGTGGTTTTAGGCATATGGTGGATATGCTCTACTAATCCTTTCATGTTGGTATCAAACTTGGTATTCCTTGGTGGAAAGTGAGTTCCTGTATTAAATAGTCGATACGGCTGGGAATAGAGATAGGCACCGACGTTTTTAGGTTAACCAAACGGCCTGAGATTCTCTCGATCCTCTATCGGCTTCAATAACTCTTACTGCGGCAATAACAACAACTTTTGGAGCAATTGTGAGCCTCAAGGGGAGCTAGATGAAAGATTAAGGGCTTCTGTAGGCGTGCAGCAAAAGATGCTGCTGAGAGCTGTTTATTTCAGTGAGTAGGCCACCACTACGACTCCATGGAGCATTATTGGATGGACGTATGTGAGTGTACTACTCTCGGAAAAAGTCCCCATGATAAAACTAACATAAACAAATCCTAAAATTATGCAACATTAAATATAATTACCTTTCAAGTTCTAATGAGCCATAAAAAATCGAAAAAGAAAACGTGAAATATGACTTTGTCAATTTATAAAATGCATTCTCGTAAAAAATGTGTAATTTACGAGTATTTAGCTAATCAACATCAATATGCTTAATAAACAGCCAGCAGGTGGCCGTACAGAGTCACTCATAATTTACCTTTCACAAATATTTAATAAGCACTCGCCCTCATCGTACCTACATACATGTCGTGAGCGACATTAAATTTTTTTTTTTTAATTGTTATTTCAACCAAGAACAAAAATATGTGATTTCTAGCTCATTTATACATGTCTACATATGTATGTAATTCTTTCCGTTGTCACATTTGCCACGAAAACTGTCACCAGCCTACACCGCCGACGACGAACTACCGTGACCTCAAAAACGATTTATGCTGTTGTCGCCCAGTAATTTGGGCCAAATTGGCGCCTAACGCGCGAGCATGCAGAGGAGAACTATGCAAATAATGCATTTTAAAAAACGAAAAACAAAATCATATTAACGCAGCCAACTAATGCGGGCACGCAGATGTATTCAGGCAAAATTTTATATTTAGTTTATATGCCAAATGCCACATGCCACACGCCTGACACATATGTACATATGTAAGTATGTATACCGCAGGCAGGAGCAACGCAACAGAGCCAAGACTGGCAGGCGTTTAGTTTATGAGCTTTTTTGCGGGCATAATAAAAATGCATGTAAATTTATTTGTGTATATATATGTATGTAGGTACGCAATTTTATTCAACGTTCTGGCCAAGTTATGTACCTACCAGCACATAGCCGTTCTAAAAATATATATCCATCCGTCTTTGAACGGATATACTACAAACATAGAATGAAACGAGACGATGACGCGACGTGCGACGTTTTTAAATTTAAAAACAAATATGCTTGTGTGTATGCATTTAGCGTTTATGTAAAAATTTATTTATGTTCGTCTATGCCCTGCAGGAAATCCTATAGAGAGTAGGGAATCGATTTGCAACCATGGTGATTCGGTTTTTTCCTTTTTGATAGAATTTCATTGAAAGTATATGTTGTAGGCACAGAGCTAAATCGAGCTTTTAATGTTTCAAACCTAGCTTTCTATTTGAGCTTTACGAGAATTCATTTGAATTCTGCGACAGCTTTTGAATTGGTGCATTTCTAGTTT